AGGGGGCGTTGCGTTAGGGGGTACATCTGATGCGGTTCTTGCGTCCAGACCGAGCATGAGTGTTTTCTTTGTTTTGTGTTTACTGGTTTTCCCATTCCCTGTCAGTATCCCTTTCATTTTTCGCAGATGGCATGAGACGTCCTAGCAGATTCCCGATTGGCAATTGATATATACGTTCAAAATTACACCTTCAGCTCTTTCCGTTCGTCAGTCCCTATGTCGTTCCTTTTTTTTTTTTTTTTTTTTTAGGGGGAAAAAATGGGCGACGGCCTTGAGATATCGTTATCGCATTGACCGGCCCCAGGTAATTTCCGCAGGGTAGTACACGTCACATACACCCCTGCAAACCGCCTCCGGGAACGGGTTAGTATGGCCATGCGCACGGCGTAGTATGACCTGTAGACCGTGCATAGGGGCACATAGTACAGAAGTACCATTTCCCTATTACTGCTCAAACCATGCTCCCAAAGGTCGTCCTTCTGTCTCACTCTCATTATCCCGTCTCGCCGTTCCTACCTCTCTCTTTCCTTGCCTGTCCCTCCCGCCGTCTGTCAGGGTTTTCTTTCACCTTCGTCGGTGCGCATGTGCGTATGTTTATTTCCTCTCTCTCTCTCTCTCTCTCTCTCTCTCTCTCTCTCTCTCTCTCTCTCTCTCTCTCTCTCTCTCTCTCCCCCTGTGTGCCGTCCTCCCTCTCCCTCATCCCTATCACTCTCTCTCCTCCCTTTCACCTTTGACTTGGTCGGCCCGTTCGTAGCTTCTCTATGGACTACAGAGTTCTTATCCAATCAGTCATCGAGAAGGTACGGAGAATGTCAGCTGCCCAGCTGAAGCTGCCTCCCCTCCTGCCCTTTCAATCTTTCCCGGTCCTCCTTTCAGACTGCCTCCACGGTTCCACCCTCTCTGCCTTGTCCCCTTCCCTGACCTCAGCATTCTCCACCTTCCCCCCTCCCTTCCCCGCCTATCACGACTTCTTCCCTTTAGGCTCTTGCCCTTCTCCCCCCGTTCCGTTCCAACGTCCCCCTCCTATCCCAACCTTCCCGCCCGTTGCGACTCTTTTCCCCCTTTCCCACTACCCCCTCGCTCCTTCTTTTTTCTCGTGTTTTCTTTTTCTTTCTTTTAAACCAGCTTCGGCCTACTAGGAGTGTTATTATGAGTGTCCCCCCCCAGTAGGCCTACCAGGCTACCACCGGTCACTCCAATCTATCGATGGGGAGGTGGCAAGGTGCACCTGGTGGAAACCGGGTCCAGCATCCCTTTGAACATCAATAATTACCGGGGCATTAGCCGTCTTCGGCTGCTGATAGCTGAATCAGCTGATAATGACCTGTAGTATGCAGCTGACCACACATATCAAGAATGAACCTGAGAATTCAAAAAAAAATGGTGCCTCTTCACCCTAGTATTACAATACTATTACTGTAGGGCGCTTGACCATCTGTATAGCTCTACCGCCATTCCTGCATTCGAATGGGGTACCTGCTTTTTGCTGGCTATGGAGACCAAGACAGACAATGACAGACAATGATAGACTGTACACGCTGATGACGAGGCAAGGGTTAGATTGAAAAACAAAAACAAAAAAAAACAAAACAAAAAAAAAAAACCCTTTGTAACCATTTCCCCCCAAACGGGGAAAAAGGTAGCGCAGGCCCCAAAATCACTTTGGGCATCATTTTTTTTCACCCTGCAAAAACACTTTTTTTCCCGCCATTTTTACACAGCGGCCGTTACCGGCCCAGCCAGGGTGCAAAAATGACAGCGAAGTGATTTTGGGACCTGCGGCACTTTTTCCCCCGTTTGGGGGGAAATGGATACAAAGGTTTCGTCGCGGGGGGGAGGTTTTATGACTTTTCCCTGTGAGATTCAGTCCCGCCCAAAACCCTTGCCGCTCAGTCAAGGAGTAAGCAGGAGGGGGCAAGAGATGGGGGAGGAGAGGCTGCAATGGAACTGAAGCCTCTAACGAGTCTAACCCCCTCTCTCCTATCGCAACCACCTCCTCTTTCTTTACTACCTCTTCCGCTCCTATCGCAACACACCTTCCCCTTCTCTCCATTTATTATCCTCCATCCCCTCGCAATTACCTCCCCCTTTCCCCTCTTATTTTGATTATGAGAGAGAGAGGCATGGTGCCGCCTGAGCGCCCTCTCCCTCCTCTATTCTCTCTGTCACACACCGTGCGGTATGGAGAGAGAGAGGGATGCGAGAGCGGCAGAGCCCTCTTTATCTCTGTCGCCTTTGTACACAGTGGCGAAACAGCTGGGTGAGCATCTGATATATTTTCTCTTTTCTTCCTGCTTTCTTTGTATTACAGGCCCATACAGGTATTACAGGGGGCAGCCGGTTTGTCATTAAATGAACCCCCATCTTCCTTCCCCTGACCTCAGACTGAGCCTCACTGAGGTGATAACACCGAAATGTGATTTCCTGAGCGGACGGAGAATCGGAGATGGGAAATTGGATCAGTCACGCCCGATAGAAAGAGGGGGTGCAAAGGGCCTAATATGGAATTATATAATGGAAAAATGAATCTGGCACAAATAAAGCGCCACGTTCAATGCCGTTGTTCATAGTCCGGTAGAAAGAGGGGGAGCCAATGACGGCAGCCAGATGCTGACAACGGACGGCCTGAAATGCCTGTGGTCCCTTTGTACCCCACCTCAAAACTTAGGGCGCGACTAACCCAATAGGTTTTCCGGCATATCTTCCAATCATCCGGCTCTAGCTGGCGAGTTTAGGGTTGAAGTATGGAAACGTTTCCGGCCGGCCACAGGGGGAATCTACTTGTTTTCCTTTTATATTTGACTCAAATGTTGAATGTTTTGGTGGTGGAATCTTCTTGTTTTCCCCTTATATTTGACTCAAATGTTATGTTTTGGAGGTGGAATCTACTTGTTTTCCCTTTATATTTGACTCAAATGTTGAAATGTTATGTTTTCGATGTCTCCTAACAGTATTTGATTGGATTCGATTTGAATTGCTGAGTTCTGGCCCAGTAATCCCAACTGTTTACTACTCAGACACCGTTTTTTTTTTTTTTTTTTTTTTTTTTTTTTTTTTTTTTNTTTTTTTTTTTAATTCAGTTCCAAGTGTTTACCACTCAGACACCGGATCGCAACCCCTCATCATGTGCAACATTGCTGCATAGAATTCAATTAGAGCTGTTGTCGTCAACTTGTCGAACTTGTCGTCCTCAGAAGTTGTGTTTGTAGTTTGCCATTCAGGCACCGGGCGGTTACCATCGGCGTTGATTGTGCAACGTCTGCCTTCACATTTAGGATACAGATTTGTTCTTTTGCTACTGCTTGCTTTTTTTTTTTTTTTTTTGGTCCCTTTTGCTGCTGTTTACCTGATGCTCTGCTAAAATCGAGCACTACGATCTGGTTGACTGTGATTTGCTATGGGGCAGAGGTTGACGTCAACTCCTATGCTGAGCGCCTTTTCCTCGGACGAGCGCAGCACGTGTCAGCTGCTGGAGAACTGTAATCATGCAATGTCATCCATGGCACGTGTCGATCAATCATGACAGCGAACAGAGTTCCTTTCGGCAATATCTCCTCCGCCGCTGGCACCCAAAACACACACACGATCTAGCTGACCGGTCTCTTTCCTCGACGTACGTTACAGTGGTTACACAGTTTTTGCTCCCACTGACATTGCCTAAAGAGTATAACTGCGGGAAAACCTGCCGGCTGATGGCCGGCGCTTCGTGAAGCACCTGAAAATTGTTTGTTTTTCTCAACGGACAAAAACTCAGATAGAATTTGATGAGATTAAGTGAGAAGTCGATGCATAACGTACAGTGGTACACATATCGCAGCCTGTACAGAATTCGAACGTGGTCGACTTGATAGACCAGGTGCAGTGACGTGCCTGAAGAATTGACAATATAAATACCATAGCATGGGGGCAGTGAGATGTGTGAGCAATGGCCATACTAGTATAGCGAATTAGATGCAACCACCTAGGCCCGGCTTGAGTACAATAGGTCCACTGAGACTCACCGACAAACCATGAAGCACACTTTAAGCTTGCTCGTGGAACATGTGTAATGATAGAACGCCCACGGTAGATGCAGCCAGGTTGAGTACAGTCGTGGCCATGAGCACATGGGATGGACATTCTTGAGTACAGTAGTGGCCATGAGCACAATGATGGTGGTATAGACATTTAATTCTGTCCGATTTGTTTGCTCATGTTCTTTTGCCTCTCCCTTGGATTCTTCATACGACGTCGTTAGAGCGTGTTAACATAGTATTTGTTTCTCGTTCTGTTTTTAGCGTAGTAAGTTTTTTTTTTTCTCGTTCTGTTTTTAGCATAGCAATTTTTTTTTTCTCGTTCTATTTTTAGCATAGTAAGTTTTTTTTTTCTCGTTCTGTTTTCAGCATAGCATTTTTTTTTTCTCTCGTTCTATTTTTAGCATAGTAAGTTTTCTTTTTCTCGTTCTGTTTTTAGCATTATAAGTTTTTTTTTCTCTCTCGTTCTGTTTTTAGCATAGTAAGAGTTTTCTTTTATCTCGTTCTGTTTTTAGCATAGTAATTTATGTCGGACGGCGTTACACCGTAGCAACTTATGTCACCAGGTGTCCTTCTTTTGTGCTTGACTCAGCGAACAAGCTGAAAGCCCCCGGGGCAATCGCTCTAACTAAAATAATGCCCTGGTGGCGTATGAGTTATAAGTCATACACCATAGCTAATGCCTCTGACTAAAATAATGCCCCGGTGAAGTAAGGATACGTACATGGTTAGAATACGACAAAAAAAAACTATCTCGGTGCGCAGCTAGCTTCCCTGCCGCATTTGTCCGATCAATCAGGAGGGCCTGAGCTTGCTTTCTGTGCTGGCGTAGTCATTCAGACTCGTTCTACATCATTGGACACCATTCATCACCTCCGAGGGTTGAAGACAGTGATAGCTGTCTCTACCTTCACGCTGGAAGATATTGCCCCCAACGAGCTAGACGTCTCAGGTATCCTCGCTCTTGGGTATTCACTCGCAGTGCACGCCCTGTTATCCTAGCTGCCCGTTTCAGCCATGCAGTTTCGTGTGACCCCGCCCTCACCCTTTCTCTTCCTCCTCCTCCTTCCTGTCCTCTTCCATCCCCTAGTCAGCACCGGCGGAATGGTAGGCCCTCTGCTCCTTTCCTTCAAGCCACAGTTAAGTCATACGCCACGCGGGCACGCTAAGCTCGTTCACGGAGTAGCGAGTGATGGCCGGGCCAACAACGCTGTCGGAAGTGTGCGGATCCGGGGCCTGCCACGACGACATCTTCGTCAAGATCCCAGCGAGGCGATCCCCGTCAACATTACTGAGCCCGAGAATTTTGAATATCTCGGTGAAATAGTGGAGGAGTCAACACCTAAGATAATGTCGAAGGATTACGTTGATGTGTCCCCCGACAATACGGCCGTCTTCTACGTTGAGAAGGAGCCGAACAACTGGACATCGTATGTGGTCATGAGAGCAATACTTTCTGGATCCGCCACTCTTGCGGCTGCAGGTAAGGGGAAGCTCTCCTGGACTATCTCCCGAGTGGCAGGACCATTCACGAACGTCAGCGGACTGCTGGTGCTTGACGAGAGCAGCCTGCTTCTCTCCTTTCGCAGCGAGAACCTCGTAAGAAAGCACAATGCCACAAGCGGAGAAGAGTTGAGCTCCATGTCTGTGAGGGAGCCTTACTCCATGGCCAAACATCAAAGCGAAGAAACGGTCTTTGTCGCATCAAACGATAGCATAATTGCTCTTCCCCTGATGCTCCCGGAGAGGCAGCAAACACTGGCGGGCTCTGGACACAACTCGAGTGGTGCTGGGACTCGATTTCTGCATCCCAACATAGGGCCTGATTCGCTTTCCTCTGATGGAAGCCATCTGTATGTCGCTGATGAAGATAATCACATCATCAGACGAGTTAATGCGGTCACAGGAGCCACGGAAACCATAGCTGGGCAGGAGGGTAATGCGTCTAGCAGTGATGGTCCTCTGTCCGACGCAGGCTTCTCGTTCCCAAAGTGCCCGGCGCTGACGATTGGAGGTACGAATCTCTTTCTGGTGGACCAGGCGGCTGGGATTCGCCGGCTGACGTTTGACCGGTCGAATGGCAGCGTCTCTTCCGTGAGCACAATCCTCAAGTCCAATCAGTCGACCGGATATATTGCCTTTTCTAAAGATAACCGTCTCTTGTTTTTCGCAGCCGGTAGTCATGTCTTCGTGCTGCGAGTGAACCTCTTTGAACAGGCTTTCGGCATATCGAATCGAAAGTCAGTTTCTCTCATGGTTGTTATTCTGGTCCAGGCCCTGATCCTTGGGGCAGCAATGCTTGGTCTTATCTTTCTTGCCGTTCGCACGCTTCGAGTCGCCGAGTTAGTGATAAAGCAGCGTCCCGAGACTAGCAGATATTCGGACGCTCGAGGTGACCCTCCAATCAATTTGAACACTGGTTATCGCCAAAACCATCAGTCTTACCCGAACGCTGGAGATGGCCCTACCATCAACTTGGACAACGATGACGCCCCAAACCCTGAGTCTCACCTGAACGCCCAATCGACAACACCGGGACCGACGATACCGCCTCCTGGAGTGCGCAGTGACAGCAGTGCCGTTAGACAGCCAGAGAGGAATGACGTCCTGGGACGCGCCCCGAGAGGAAGAAGCGGCTGGTTCAGGAGCAAAATCACGTTCCTGATAAGCCTTCTTAGCCCTCTGTCCGGAAGCGGGAGGCGTTTGGAATCGGTAGAGAACCGCCAACCAAATTCTCTATGAGTCAACGCTGATGGCCCCATGCACGTGTCTGCAAACCAACCCATCAGCCGATGATCAGCGACATCGTGGATGAGGCACAGTTTCAAGAGGAGGATAAACCGAGCTTATCACACAAGGGGACACTCATAAACCAGCGCAGCCCCTGTAGAGGGAGCTTCTGTCGGCTGATGGACAAGAAGCTGACAGGTGCATTCCCCTTTGCGCTTCTTGATTCTCCTGCGTGAAGATCGATACGCTTCCGTCACATCCCTCTATTTGGACATTTAACACATTTTCAAATTTTTACAAAATTTCCGCTAGCATGCTATTCCTTTTATTGACATCAGTTTCGTCATCGCTCATCCAGTGCCAACTCTTGCCCAATAACACCAGGGTAATGGACTCATCCCCCATCTGCCACCGTAGTCTCATGGAACACAAGTTTCCAGAGGCATATTTCTACCATTATGTGCCCGCTTTTTCCTTCCTTTTAAGTTTCGACGGTGTCATCTTTCTTGCCCTCAGATATGTTTCTGCCTGGTTTTCGCATTGCTTCTCCTTTTGCTTCAGTCCCTAATCTGTTATCCCACCTTTTGCTACAGTCCCTCATCTCTTATCCCACCTTTTGCTTCAGTCCCTCATCTCTTATCCCTCCCTTGTCTCCCCGCACATTCCATATCCTCGACAAGTCTTCCCGAATCCCGACTCTTTCGATCAGTGCATGGCCGAAAGGAATGTGTTGCGGTAGTCACGGATCCTAACCAATGAAGGGTCAGAGGGAAAAGTCGCATCAAGTACTACTACTGAAGATTGTGCATGTGCTACTGAGGTAATGAGTCGTAAAGAGGGGCAGGGGGAAAGTAGTATGAGGGACTGATAGTAAATGACTGCTGAAGTAGGTACGTATTACGGAAGCTTGTGCATGACGACACACTATGGTTAACCGAAGAGGGTAGGTAGAAGGAGGTAGGGCCTGTAGGGAAGTGGTAAGAGGGGAGGGGGAGGTTTGGGAGGAGGGAGGGCGGATACCCATGACTTCCGAGTCCCGACTCGGGTAGAGGAGGGGGGAGTCGGAGCTCGAAGAAGCTTGTAACGACTGGCCCGGACTGGGTACCATTGGGAGTCTCCCGGCTTCAAGCGGTCCATTTGCGCCACTCACCTTTGTCGATCGTGAGGAGTCTACGGAAGCTGGCAGGCTGTCTAGACCCTCGCGGCCATGGTGCCGCAGTCTGAATGTCTTTTATCTCTTTTTCTTTCACTTTCTCATTTCTGTTCTCATGGTTGCAGTGGTAAGCAACCGGACTGCAGCTTCCCAGAATAGACGGGGCAAGAGAGTGTGTTAGAAAAAAATAATCAACAAATACTTCGAACGGACAACATTTTTGCTGCCAAACTTGGAAAAAGCAATATTTTTGCAATTAGCCCTAATTAAAAAAAAAAATGTGCCCTTTCCTGAGAACATGCCGTCTTGTGGCCTTCGTTTGCTTGTCGATAGCCGTTCTTAGCACAAGCCTGCGTCCGTGTGCAGACACAGTAGACACTGTTGCCCATACTGTGTTGCATCTTCCTGCAGGTAGGATATCAGTCTGCTTGATTCAAGTTACTGGGCCGGTCCAGGGAGAGGCCGAGTCGTGGAAGACTAGACCGACGTAGTCTGGGCATTCAGTCGGCAGTCATGCTCCTGCTGCACGTAGAGATAGAAGAAGGTAGGGTGAGGGAGAGGAGCCAGAGGCCCAGAGGGTAAAGAAGACGACCTCCATCGCTATGGGGGAGTAATGAGGAGTAAATGGGGGAGTTGCTTGGCTATGTAGGGAGGGAGGTAGGTGGCAGCATTGGACCGGCGGTAGCCTCAGGTAGGCGATTGCTATTGTAGATTTATGGATGTGTTTCATTCTGGCTGTATGATCCCATATGGCCCATGATATGGGTAATATAACTTTGCAGGTAGAAATGAACACACGCAGAAGGGGAACTGGACTTGTGCTCACTATAGCCATTAAGGTGGACTAGTTACCCAGTAAAACACGCATTGCCACATGTGCACACACGCTTGCATGCATGCGCTCGAGCAATATAAGAGAGAGAGAGAGAGAGAGAGAGAGAGAGAGAGAGAGAGAGAGAGAGAGAGAGAGAGAGAGAGAGAGAGAGAGAGAGAGAGGGAGGAGGGAGGGAAAGCGAGGGAGAGAGACCAGGAGAGGGAGAGAGAAGATCGCGGAGCCTATTGTCCCCCGTGAAACGAAGGAAATTTGGACAGTTATCGAAGGACCCAACGATGGCCTCTGCGGGTCGAGTCCCACTGCCGGAGGTACGACTGGTAATGGGCTCTTGGTCGATGGCATTACCCAGGGCCCCGGGGGTGTGCCCAATTATCTCAATATTCGGTTGTTTGTTTTCTTTGCGTTTTTCTTTTTTTTTTCCCATCCGTCCGGTTGCTCAGATGGTCTATCGGGGATTCCTAACCCACCACGGAGCACCATTTAACCTACCTTTATTGTTCACTTTATCATCGCTAGCCAACCCTACAGCCATGCGACCGTCTCACAGGCACGCATGCCGCATGCGCGCATCTCCTAACGACGTCGGAGGTCCTAATACTGGTACCCCCAGGTGTCTTAACCGTAGGTAACCCCGAATGTATCGGAGCTGACTAGTCTACAGGCAGTTAATACCTGCTTCCCACCCAGCAGACTCTCTAAGAGGGCATGCGATGTACCTACTCACCGACCACTACCTATACATATGGTACCCCTACCCTCCCCCTCATCCATCTGAACTCCCTTATGGAGACTACCTCTACCCATCCGCCCTTGAAGCACAGTCCACGGGCCTCGTAAGCTAACCTTGAAGTCCACCCTCGGGTATCATAAGTACCAGACATATTCCCTACTAGGCTACTACAATTCCCCACACACGTATTACCCCTGGTTGCTCATGGGCAGGCTTCGGGGCAGAGCCTACTCAGACTGTCTGCTGAATCTCGACCTACCAGCTATCTTTCTAGCGTCCTCAGAACAGGACTCCCCGGATGGTCGTGCATCTGGTGATAAGCAGGGGAAACATTGCTTACAGTACAGCGCACTCGTAGCAACACCCCATTGGCCTAATCCTAGCGGGGATGGGATGTTATTGTACAGGCAGGGTATCAGGCGCCGGAATACTCTCCGCTGTACTTTCACCCCAGTCCACTTAGCCCTTTGGTTGACTGCTTACCTCCCAAGAGGGAGGTTGCACGCTCAATTCTTGTGATGGACTGGTGGGTGCTTTCCTAGCTAGAATTGATTATTGCATGTATTTATGGCTCTATCCATGACTGTTTCAAAGCTTATCTCCTGTGTTGCACAGCAGCCTATGAACTAGCAACTACTACATGCCATCATCGCCATGTCTCACAATAAGGGGAGAGATTAAGGCCTCTAGAGTGGCACCACTTGTCGCAGGAGACGAATGGGGAACAGAGAGACTAGAGAGAGGGCCCCAGAAGCCTTCTCTCTCTCTCTCTCTCTCTCTCTCTCTCTCTCTCTCTCTCTCTCTCTCTCTCTCTCTCTCTCTCTCTCTCTCTCTCTCGCTTTGTGTATGATACTGTATGTGTGTGTGTGACAGGTGGTGGGGGTAGAGAGAGAAGGGTCTGCATTGGCATGATGCGATGCAAGAGCCCTCTCCTTCTCTCTCCCTCCATGACACGCGGCGGAGTGCAGAGATAGAGAGAGGACATTGGCGTGGCCCCATGTGTCATGTGAGCCCTCGCTCTCTCATGCGCCTTGTACATGGTGGCAAAACCACCAGTCAAAACCACTTGCCGGACGGAAGGACAGTGTTTTTCAGACTTTTTGTGATCTTTTTTCACATTTATTGTTGCTTCTTTCGTTATTTGGGGGGGGCATATCCATTAGAACCGGCTTGTTATCAAGGAACTCCCATCTTAGGTCCCTTCAGCGTGAAAATGGGGTGAAAGTACCTGAATGTTATTTTTGGGGGGCAGAGTACCTGTCCGAGCCAGTCTGGCAGGGGGAGTCCACAAGTTTCCCTTTTATTTTGATTTCTAGTGTCTAACTGTGCTATGTTTTGGTTATCCTCTAACATTGTTTGACTTGATTGGATTTGGATTGTTGAAATCTTTCTGATTCTGACCCGGTAGTTTGAAGTGTTGACCATTCAGGCACACTTGGTGTGCAGCATTGCGCCCCGTTACCCGGCAGCTACCACTGGGTTTAGTTTTGCCAGGCCGGTCTAGTCGTTTCGGATTCGGATTTTCCTTTTTCTACTGCTGTGTACGGGTACTACGGGATGCTCTGCTAACGTTAACACTACCTTCTGGTCGACTGTGTGCTGTTGTGGGGCAGGGGATGACGTCAACTGAGCCGACTTTGTCAGACGAGCACAGCATGTGCTACCTCATCCTGAAGAACTCCAATGCCATCTATCCCACGTGTCAATCAATCAAGCAAGTGAAGTTATTGAACAGAGTTCCGTAGCAAGATCGTCTCGGCTGCTCCAACCCACTTCACGGACACGATGCCGCAGACGGTTTCCTTTCCTCGACGTATGCCACACCATTTTTGCCCCCGATGACAAGTATGCCTGTCAGTCTGTGACGTTGCATGCTTGGTAATGATCATTGATCTGCGCTTCAAGTTGGTGAAGCACCTGAAAGGCTGAAAGGACGTTACTGGCAACAGACACAAACTGATGTGTCGTTTTTCAGCAGATAAAGTGAGGAACCGGTGCACTGGGTGCAGATTGCAGAACATAGACATAGCAAAGCCTGCACAGAATGTTGGCCAACTTGATAGAGCCGGTGAAGTGACATGTCTGAGGATTCCACAATATATCGCATAGCATAGGGGCCGCGAGATACGTGAGCAATGGACATACTATAGATGTATATATGCAGTGAGTCTGAGTGAGATATGTGAGCGAACGACATATACTACAGATGTGTAGCGTAGGTGTCTTGAGATCTGCGAGAAATGGACACTGTATAACATGGTGGAAAGCTTGCTCTTGTTAGTTACACCCACGAATTTCTACGATCGAACTCCCGAGAGTCCGGAACGCAGAGAGCTTCAGCCTTCAGCATAGCGGTGGACTACGGTAGCAGAGTGTGGAATGTACTGAGTGGTCATTCGCAGACCGAGTGGACTTTTTCTCTGTTTCACTTTTGAAAGGCCGGCGGCGTCCTTGAGGTAACACCGGATTCCATTGGGATTCGAGCTCAGGTCGGCTTATCAACATATCATGGGCGAACAGCTCAGGCACATGGGCTGGGTATTGTAAGCGCATTTAAACTATGTTTAATACGACTTCAGCGGATATTATGACATAGCAAGTAGGGGTCTCGCTCCACTACTGTCCACTGTACAAAAACGGACAGTGGTACTTCGCTCCACTTACTGTCCACTGTACATGTGCAAAATGGCTTGGACAGTTTTGAGAAACCCCGTCGGAAATCTACTGTCCGTGAATGTACAGCTCCCAGCCTGCAAAATTCGTTAGTACGCGGAAAGTCCTTCAAGGGACTCACCGTGAGGACCCGAATTTGGACAGTGCACCTAGCGTCCGGGCGGACAAAATCCTTTGGATGCCCTGTCTTGTAGTTCTATCACTGCGTCCGTAGTGAACTCGCGAATTTGAGAGGTGGACAGCGGACAGTAAGTGGAGCGGTCGCATTTTCCACTGTCCGCTGTACAATTTTTCGCTCTGACAACTGTCCAAGAAATGTCCGAAAAGTTGTACAGTGGACAGTAGTGGAGCGAGACCCTTAGGGCCCATGTTCTCTTAGAAATTAGAATTGATTGCAGGTGTCATAGCACAGCAAATTCACGTCAGCAAGCCTAGTATTATACAGTATAGCAATTCACGTCAGCAAGCGTCTTTGGTTTGGCTTTTTGTTCTCTTAGAAATTAGAATTGATTGCAGGTGTCATAGCACAGCAAATTATGTAACGCCATTACCAGAAGTGGCTCTGATTGCCCTCTGGCTGACGACTTGCCTCCGTCCATTACAATAGTGTCCCAGTAAACTACCGACGGTTCTGCTTAGGATACGACAAAAAGCTATCTTGGCGCCCAGCTGCCTATCCTAACCCCATTTATCTAACTAATTAAGGAGGAAGAGCCAGCCATCCGTGGCGATTTGACAATACTGCCTCATTGGGCACCGTCCATAACCGCTGAGGGTTAAAGACCTCAGTCTGGAAGATACTGTCCCCAACGAACAAAACGCGCCTCACGTATTTTTCGCTCGTGTTATTAATTCGCACTTTCTCGTGCTATCCTACGTGCCCCGTCTTACGGTCTTACTAGACTTTTAGGCTTTAGCCATGCTGGTTCCCATGTCCCTCCACTCGCCCTTTCTTGTCATCCTCCTTCCTGTGCTCTTCCATTCCCTAGTCAGCATGAGCGGAATGGCCGGCGCTCGGTTCCTTCTTCCCACCCCAGGCCTTCGTCATGCGGCACGTGGATACTCTGCATTCGTTCACGGGGTCGGGTGTGGTGGCATTATACCCGAGCACCCTGAAGGAGTGACGATGACCAGGGGCCTGCAACGGCGACATCTTCTTTCAAATCTCAGCGAGGCGGTCCCCTTCAATATCACAGATCCAGACCTCGTAAGATATGTCAGTGAAGTAGCTCCAGAATCAACACCTAAGAAGATAATGTTGAAGCAATACATTGGTCTGTCCCCAAACGATACCACCCTCTTCTACGTGGAGAAGGAACCGGGCAATTGGACATCGTATGTGCTTATGAGAGCCATCCGCTCAGGATCCGTCGGTGGTGCTTGTAGCCCAATTGAGACGAACATTTCTTGGACCATCTCCCAAGTGGCAGGACCGTTCACGAACGTCAGCGGACTGCTGGTGCTTGACGAGAGCAGCCTGCTTCTCTCTTTTCGCAGCGAGAACCTCGTAAGAAAGCTCAATGCCACAAGCGGAGAAGAGTTGAGCTCCATGTCTGTGAGGGAGCCTTACTCCATGGCCAAACATCCACGCGAAGAAACGGTCTTTGTCGCATCAAACGATAGCATAGTTTCTCTCCCCCTTACGTTCCCGGCAAACCAGCGAACACTCGCGGGCCCAAGTGTAGTTGTTAACGAGAAGGAAAATCGAAGCTCTGCAGATAACTCCACTGGTGCTGGGGTTCGGTTTCTCCATCCCAGTATAGGACCTCATGCAGTTTCCCCCAATGGAAGCCATCTTTACGTCGCTGACGAAGGCCATCATATAATCAGACGAGTGAATACGGTCACAGGAGCTACGGAAACCATAGCTGGGCAAGAGGGTAATGCCTCTAGCAGTGATGGTCGTCCGTTTAATGCGACCTTCTCGTTCCCAAGGTGCCCGGAGCTGACTCAGGGGTCTAACTTTCCTGATCTTGTCTTGGTGGACCAGTCTGGAATTCGCTGGCTGACGGTTGACTTCGGAGACCGCGTCATTGGCGTCAGGACAATCGTGAAGTCGACTCAGTCGACTGGATGTATCATCGTTTCTCATGATAACAATCTCTTGTTTTTTGCGGCTGATAGCCACGTTTTCGTGCTAGAGGACGCTTAGTGCTCAGTTCTTCTGCCCTCCAGTCCTCCACCCATCAGTTCCGCACCTAACCCAAGTAGTTCTGAACCTTCGGGCGCCCGCCGCGCCAATTCCGGATCATACACTATACCATTGGCTCTTGTGGTCGGTCTTGTGGTCGTGATGGGTGTGGTGTTCGTAACCTCTCTGTATGTTGTTAAGTGTGTTCACGCTCGTACGCTCCGAACCGTTGAGGCGGCGCTAGCGCAGGCGCCCACTGCTGCAAACCATCCGCCTCACCAGGATGATCAGCCCGTATCGAGAAGACCTGAACAGGCTTCTCCGTCAAACCCTCCGTCTCACGAGGATGCCATATCGAGAAGATCTGAACAGGCTTATGCTCCAAACCTGCCGCCTCACCAGGAGTCCATAGCGAGAAGGCCGGATCCGAGAAGATGCCCAAGCCGACGCCCTCCCCCGGACTTCGTAGTGACATCATCGCTGACATGGCCAAGGGGGTGGCGTCGTTGGAGGCGCTCCACAGGACCCATGGATTGTAACGCCGAAGCAGAAAGCTCCTCAGGTGGCAAGCAACGGTTCCTGGGCCAGCTATGTCAGGATGACCCGCAAACGATTGGAACGTCCAGCAGACCATTGGAATCGGGAAGCGAGCGACCCGCCAACGACGCCCACCCAAAGTCTTCAGCAGCGGCGCATTCTGGAACGTCGAGATGAACTCAGTAAACATCGAAATGAGTCAGACAACTAACGTCGAGTTCAACCCGTCGACGACGAGCCGGGGAAAGCGCGCAGTATCAAGTGGAGGATGAAAGAGATCACCTCATCAGTCAAGAAGACCTTTAGAATTTTTTCAGAAACCACCCCGCGGACCACTGGACCTTCTGCCGGCTCATGGAAAGGAAGCTTGAGGCTTGAGCTGCTTGACTGGTGCATTGCATTCCCGTTTGCGCCTCTTCCCTTTCTTGCTTGAAGATCTCCGCGTTTCGGTCGCATTCCTCTCAGATGGGACCTCACCAGATTCACACGCGCTAAGAAAGGAGTTCCAATCGATCGAATCTCGGTAGGAGCTTTTCCCTGTCAGCCCAGTGCCTTCATTCAGACCACTGTCACTATTGCTCATCCTCTTTCCTAATATGATGAGACTCAGTCCAATCCCATATGTTTTTTTAGAGCGCATCTTCAACGGTTTATCACCTCCTGTAGTTACCTCTGTCTTCTCTTCTCTCTGTCTTCCATCTCTCCATTATTCCTTACCGCACTTCTCCAGATGCCGAGATTGTAGACTTTCGTAGTTTAAAAAAAAAAATAAAAAAAATTGTAGATCTGTTTTCAAACTTTTCATCCACATATCGCCGGAACGCCGTGGCCAAATGCCGTCTGGTGTGTTTTCTACTTCCTTCGTGTGTAATACAATGCTTCCATAGTCTAGTGGTGGGGAATGTCGTCTGGTGAATTTGTCCTTTTGTCATCAGATTGGTTCTCTCTACCTTCAGTATTAATTATTCGCACGATTTATAATTTCGCCATTCATTGTCTTGCTCGAGATTGGAATAATACTCGCGAATTGGTACGCCCCTCGGGGATCTCGGCCAAGGAAGGGAAGTGTGGAACGTCGGGGGTTGCCGGCTCTGGGCTTATGGTCCTCTGGGGACAATGGTGGTCTCGTGGGGGTGCCAGCCCGCGCGTGGTGCCGCTGAGGAGGGCGGGCCAGCGGCTGGACTCCGCCGGTGGAGACTCAAGCACGGGGGGTTGGGGGTCTTTGCCGGCTGGATTGGGGCCGTGTTTCGCGTGGGAAGGGAAAAAAAGGGATGCGTACACAGGTATTGCAGCAGCAGGTGGCGGCGTGCCTCGGAGATCATGAACCAGAGTTCTTGTTCGTCTTGCAGGCAGTTGTGTTAGGCTTGTGCGATGGTATTCATTCCATTTTTTACTACATTCGTAATATATTTTGCATGATTTTTATTTATTTATTTTATTTATTTTTCTGGTAGAACATCATGAGGGCAAGGCTGCCTGCTAACGGGGGTGGTGAGAGCATCCCTCATTAGTAGGTCCCGCCAGTTGATGTCTCCTTTCTATAGGTGGGGAGCTGCACCTGCTGGAAACGGGGTCCAGCGTCCCTTTGAACATTTAGCTTGCTAGTTAGCACTGAAGAGGTGGTTTGATCCTATTGGTTCTCATTGAAATTGTAATGTTGGACGGATTGATTCTCTGTATAAGGGACGCTGAACCCGATTTTCAGCAGGTGATACTCCCCACCAATGGACTGGAGTCTCAACTGGGTAATCCATTCCACCATTCCTAATTATTTTAAGTTGGGGAAAAAAAAAAAAAAGCCATCAGTTTTTTGACTTGAACAGTAGAACGAGGTGCCTATTTATTAGTCCTTCCCGGATTCTCCGCTTATAGGTAGCCCCTTATTTGCTCGTGGGCCTGAGCCTTCTGCCTTTTTGCAGGCGATAAGATCCAAGTACTTGATTGTGTGTCTGTCATCGCTACCCTTCATCCTGCACCTCTGCCCATGGCCCTCCTGTCCCCCTCAGGCTGTGGTCCAGTCTGTTGACCCTGAGTCTTCTTCCTGATGGAGGCCTGGGTGGGCTTCTGGCTGCTTAGTCTCTGCTCGAACTGATGATCAGTGATGAATCTGTCTTGCAGGGTTAACGGAGGGGATAGGAAGGGCATATCAGGGAGGTTCGGCTGAGGTCTAATTCGGGAAAGGAATCAGAATAAAGTTTTGATCTGCGTAACTGAAACCGGTGCAGGGGAAGACGCTGCCTTCCGGGTTCAAGGGCCACGGTCCCACATCTTCCACTGAATGTTGTTTTGGCTATCCAATTTCGAACAGTTTTTTGTTCTTGTCTAACCAGATTGTAATTGCTGCTTCCTTTCCTTTCCAGCCACTTGTGTGTGTGTGGTATAATGGTGGAAATAATTTCCTGTCTCGCCTGCTGGAATCCAAAAGCACACCCCCTTCGCTCACGAGAGCATCTCATCCTCCAGGCTAGCAATAGTACAGTCAGTCTTGTGTAGGACAACCAGTTTGCTGAGAAGGGGTTCCCTTGGCAAGTTTGGGTCGTTTGTTCGCCCAGAACGATGAGGGCTGGTCGGATCCCAAGGTAGGTGCTCCCCCGCTAGCGTCGCGCTAGGTAGTGCCAGGCCGAGTCCCACCATCGCCATAGTTGAACAATGAGGGACCATCGGGCATGTCAGAAGGCAGTGCTTGAGTGTTGCCCTGGCTGGCTGAGAGGATCTTCCACACTAGGAGCAAATAGGAGCAAATGGGTGAAAGAATTCCTGTTTGCTCCAAATCTGATCTGGAAACCAACCAGTGAGGGGTGGGAGGGCACCAATGGATGATGTGCCATTGCAAGGCTCGGTGGGATGTGGGCATAATTTTCTTATATGCTGACCAGGTGAGGTCCTGCAGGTCGGCTGCTTGTTGTAGAGGAGAATCTCTCGCCCATCTCGAGGTAATGGTTTCGTTAATTTGGGCTGGAGGGGTGGACCACATGTCTCTGTAGCCTCCTTTAACAACCTATCCCCCTATTTGCATGTTCTCCTTCCCCTCCCATGCCCACTCAGCAGGGTCAAAGGGAAGCTTGCTAATAGGGATGTTGGGCTCCGTATGTGAGGCACCAACTTCTGTGCATGAGCAAGTTCCTGAGCCCCTTCCTTTTCTCAGTCATCTCTGAGTAACTGGGATAGATCCGATCTAGTTAATTTGGGCTGGAAGGGTGGACCACATGCCTCTGTAGTCTCCTTTAACAACCTATCCCCCTATTTGCATGTTCTTCTTCCCCTCCCATTCCCACTCAGCAGGGTCAAAGGGAAGCTTGCTAATAGGGGTGTTGGGCTCCGTATGTGAGGCACCAACTTCTGTGCATGAGCAAGTTCCTGAGCCCCTTTCTCAGTCATCTCTGAGTAACTGGGATCTATCCAATCTAGTTCCCGTTCCTCTACTCAGTCCAGGTCTCATTTGTCGGGGGATGGTGCTGCTGGGCTCAGCATGTCTTGGTTGTGTTTTGGCCTTTCCCTGTACACAAAGCTTGGTAGAACCCGATGCATGGGACATGTCGACCAATCTTGACTCTTCGTTTCTTTTCAGTTTTCCGGATTTTCCCTGTATTTTGTTGTGCATTTACATAAGATTTAAGCGCGCCTTAGAGAACGCGCTCACTATTCTTTTTACTAAGGTTTTCTTGAATCCGGAAATCGCGGGTGCTCACTTGTACACCCCCGGTCCGGAGGGTCCAACTCGCCCCATGGTTGGGAACCCGACCGCGGGCCTCGGTCGCGAGCGGTCAGGGGCGGCCGAGAATTTGTCATATAAAAAAAAGGCAATATATATATATATATACATATATATACATATATATATATATATATATATATATATATATATCATAGTTGCAGCGTATTGAGGTCCGCGCTTCAGAGCACGTCTGGCGCACCTCGCGCATCGCACCCGATGCAGCGCAAAAAAAGGGAAAAAAAAAAAGGGGTAACTAGGGCGCAGTCATGAAAGCAGTTTGTAAATGCATTTCGAACTGCCTCTTTGGAGTCCAGTACCATCCCAAGTTTCAACTGCAGTCGAAATGCCTGGGTCCTGTTGAGATAAAATAGAAAATCAGAAGTCCTTGATGATGGCCGATTGCTCAGAAGTGAGTCATAGAGTTGGGGCCGCAGGTCCACACACCGCGGGAAAATCTAAGGTGGGCGGGAACGCTTCGCCAAAATCTTGGCGAGGAAAACAACTCGGCCTCTAAGCAGACTTGGTGGCTGTGCTGTGACCGCAGGTTTGCCTATGCGATGGGCGCAGCTGCCGGCGGACGAAATCCCGAAGCCGCTCCGCGCGAGTCAAGTCAGCCTGCAGCGACCGGTCCTGTGCCGGTTACTTATACACTCGCTGCTCCTGGATCAAGTGGCGGTCGGTCCTCCGAGGGGCTAGTAAGTTCCACTAAGCCCCTTCGTGGATCTTGGCTCACTCACTCGCATCTGTAGATCCTGAGAATAAAGAAATTGATCTTAGAAAAACAGTGCCCTTCCGTTGGACCTGAAGATCGTCGATGAGAAGGCCTCCGGGTGACAGTTTGATTTTTTAGGAGATAAAGAAATTGAACCTTTAGAAAACAGTGCCCTCCGTTGAAACTGAAGATCGTCTGTGACGAGGCCTCCGGAGACAGTTGCGTTGAAATGACCAAAGTGATAGTATCTTGTCAACGCTTGAAAT